GTAGACCCTTGGGAAGAGAGACGGGTGGTGTATCATTGCTGCCGCTGAGCCATTGAAAGCGCAGCTGATTCAACGTGTACCCGTAGCTACCGATGTCCATATAACATTCTTGTGCGTCCATTGGGAACCTGAGCAAATCCATCTGGCACGAGAAACGCATGGTAATCTTCTGGCTGTAAAGCACCTCGCCGTTGGGCTTTATTCGAATAAGATAATTATTGTTAGTCATCGTGTGTAGCCTGCCTTCTTTGCCGTTACGGAAGAACAGATCCGGGAGCCATAAACTCTCCTTGAGGATAGGAGAGGCGATCGTTTTGGTGTAGTTCTTGAAAATGGCATCATGATCCCAGGCCAGCCGAGGATCAACCCAGCTCTGACGCAGTAAAAAGTCAGTTGTGTACTCCATCTTTCTCACGTCTACTGACGTGATAGCCTTGATGTCCATGTAGATGGTGACTATGGTTGCGGAATGATCGGCATCGTTGGGCGTTTCATGGCTTTGGTAATAGCAGAACATCCTCCTCATGATCTCGGCACGTGTAGACGTTGTATTTAGGCTCTCATCGCAAGGCGAACTAAGAGCATGCGATCTGCATGAATAGTCGAGCAGAGCTAAAAGTATGAGCATCGACAGCTGCAGCCCGAAGAGGCAAGACAGGCCTGCTGGAGCATGGCAGAGCATCCACATCTCGCCTCGCCTAGTGCTCAAATTCCAGGCAATGTACTCTAGCAGAAGGATCCAAGAGAACGCGCTGGATGTAAATCTGGGCAAGATATGATATACAGAATTCGAATAGTTTTTCTGCCTTAGTTCTCTCAGATAATTGACAAATACGACACTGATAATCGGCGCAGCTGATGCCTAAAGAATCTTGACGCATAAGAGCCGGCCGAGAGAAACGGGTAGAGGGAAGAGAGCAGACGCATAATGTGGATAGGAGAGAGGATCGGCTGGTACTACTACCCGAGACTAACCAACCAGTAGTCAGTTTGTCAGTCCGCCAGAGAGCCGGGCCGTAAACCAAGCAAGCTGAGTGGACGGTGGCTTGCGGCGGAGGGACAGAACGAATGGGAAATTAAACACTGAAACTTAACCAACGCGACAACCAACCAACCGAACATCCAATCGAATAGGCAGCCAGCTAGGCCAGAAACTGACCTAGTGTCAACACCCAACCGGTTTAAGACGTTCTACTGTTGTCGTAACAACTATTAGGTATACCTCAGACCATGGCCATATCCCCTCCAATGAGCCATCTGCCCTATCTCGCCCTATCTTGCTTTAGAAACTGGCATACCATCTCTCACCTCCTTTTCAGTAAGTGACCTATCACTGCCTAGCTGGTCAGTCAGCAAGGCGAGCGAATAACAATCTGGTCGCAGAGCCTAAAAGCCGGGCTTTTAGGGTCAGGTAGGAAATTTCAGCATATGCACCTTGCTCATGCCCGAACTTGCTACCGAGGGCGTGTGAACAGGTGCTCACATGTAGCCTCATGGATGCACGCTTGAACTTAAACCTAGATGATAATCTTATGAATGCACAACTAGGCATACAATCACGAAGCCAACAAGAACAAGTGCATCTAATAAACAAGAACAAAACACTGAAAGATGTGGATATATTGCTTAGCTCTGGTAAAGTTCATGGTTTGTGGTTGGACTCAATTTGCTGCTAATACGGTCGGCGGATCGTATATTCAACTTGCGATTATAACAGAGGCAGGCCTTGTTACTCAGGCCTCCTTACTGCAAACTCTCGCAATCCACGTTATACAAAAACAATGAGCAACAATCTAAGATGGAGATGACGTAGCCTATATTCGTAAAATCACAAACAGGTCGGTCACCAGGCCTTTTTTCAAGATTCAGTGACAGTAACTATGAGTACAGTTTGACGCTGGGTCCTATCGTTCATTGCACTCGCAAGAAAATATGTAGAGTATCTTCCCCTCGTGCTTTCTTCTGGGTAAAATCTAACCTGACGAATAATATCAGGTCTAGAAGTTGTTTGACCTTGTTTTCGCAACTTGGTCATAATGGTAGGAAAACTTAGAGCAACGCAACTTGTCCTGAGTCCATTGTATGCATAATTATTTTCAAAGTCTAACAGTGAACATGGTACATTTGCAGACGTTTCGCCGGCATCGTAGTCAGCATCGTCAGTGAGTTTTGTCATTCGTAGCGCCATATTACAACTCGTCAAAGAGACAAGTAAGCCGATCCTTTGACCAAACATGTGCTAAACAGTTATGGTATCTCCCATTCTGCCCTGGCCTATTCACATATCTTATATATCCTCGTATCACACCTTCACTGTTACAATTTTTACTGTGCTTATTTAGATGTAATATGGTGTGATTCTTGAGTGACATTCATGAAAATTCTCCACACTCCACTCACCCCCCCCCTTTACCCTTGTGTTGGGAATGTTGATCAGAGTCTGTCATATTGTTACGCAGTCCTCCTGTCCTAAGTCCTACCACAGTCTCTCTCTTGTCCCGTAAGATCCGTCAAATATTTTAATCGACCCCTGCCACCCGAGGCGTCTGGGTGACTAATTCGAGGCTAAAGCCTCTGAGTAAGTGTCATGGTCACGGCTTTGACACATGGACCACGTCTCTTATAGAAACTACTGTCGGCCCACTAGCTCCAATTGCCGCCGCGTCTATCCTGTTTCTATATCTGATACCAAGTCTATGATTTCCCATTCCTTAGTCTCTTGTGTGCCAACCCCCAAATATTGTGGTACTGCTTGCTTTGGTTAGGTTCAATGTTGAACCACAACGTTTGTAGGGTTCACACACAAGAGACTAGGACATGTGAAGTCATAGACTTGGTATTAGAGATAGAAACAGGATAAACGCGGCGGCGATTGGAGCTAGTGGGCTGACAGTAGTTTCTATAAGAGACGTGGTCAATGTGGCAAAGGCCTGACCATGATACTTTATCCTCAAAGTAGTCACCCAGACGCAGGGTAGGGCCAATAACGCCTCAAGTTGGCACATATGGGGTGGCAGGGCTAGAGTGAAATATGTGAACCAGGGAGAGGGCTGACAAATCTTACGGGGCAAGAGAGAGACTGTGGTAAGATCTAGGGAAGAATGACTGCGTAACAATATTGCAGACTCTGATGAACATTCCCAGGACAAGGATGAAGGGCGGTGAGAAGGCCAGCGTGGAGTGCGGAGGGTTCTCATGAAAGCCGCTCAAAAGGACACACCGTACCGCAATTAGAAAAATATTGTGACAGTCAAGGCGGGATTGGAGGATATAGGAAATGTGAATAGGCCAGGGCAGAAGGGGAGATAACATAATTGTTTAGCACACATTTGGTCAAAGGATCGGTTTCACTTGTCTCTGACGAGTTGTAATATGGAGCTACGAATGGTAAAACTCACTTAGAGGAACGCACCTTGTCCTGAATTAATTGTATGCATCATCATTTCCAAAGTCGGACCGTGGACGTGGTACATTCTCAGACGTTTCGCCGGCATCGTCAGTGAGTCTCGCCACTCGTCAAAGGGACAAGTCCCGAGTTTGTAATATGGTGCTATGAATGGCGAGACTCACTGACGATGCCGGCGAAACGTCTGTGAATGTACTACGTCCACGGTCCGACTTTGGAAATAATTATGCATACAATGGACTCAGGACAAGTTGTGTTCCTCTAAGTCTCCCTACCAATATGACCAAGTTGCGT